TGTTTCTCCTAAAAAATATTCTGAGAAAATGGGACGGTCAGCTAAACGACATCGTTCAATGTTTGGGTGGTTCGTCCAGAAAGAAGAGGACAACGTTGTCCAAGGACTAGACTCACAGCATCGCATCCCCAAACACAACGCAACGCAGAGAAGAAAAACAGAGGTAATGAAAGCAACCATTTTTACCCCCATAAAATTCCAGGAGAAGAAGCACCAAGAAGACGCCTTTGTCTAACAGTTTCGTTTAATTCCATTCTCTTCTCCTTTTCTCTTTTCTTTTCTTCTAATCTACTTCTTGCAGGTAAGGATATACAGATAGACAGAGAGAGAGAGAGAGAAAGAATATCAAAATCGCAATGGGAAAATCGTCTTCGTCTGTCAAGAAGAAGCGTTTCAAGGATTCCTCACAGGTGCTCTCTCTCTCTCTCTCTCTCTCTCTATATATCTTAATTTTCTTGATATCCGAATTCGATCCTTTTATCTGGATTTCCTGTTTTTTCCCCTTCTGTTTGATGGGTTTTTGTTTTTTGTTTTTCTTTCTTTGTGTGTGATTGTTATTATAAGTCTAGTTGTTAAAAAAACTATAGATGTATGCGTGTGTATATATTAGGGAACGAGAAAGAACTGTAAAGTTTCAGTGTATATATGTTTAAGCCGATGGGTTAAAGTGCGTACTTTTGGTGGATATTTATTTTTCTGTTCTTATCCCTCAATCGATTGGATTTTAATTGGTTTCCTTGCATCTGTTAGAATCCGAATTCAAGTCAGTTAATTTGTTTACACATGTCTATTTACCCTTTAGTTGCGTTCAAGGAAGAGAAGTAAGACTAAGAGTAGGAGTAAATCCAAGAAGCTTCGTCATTCCAAGGATGCAGTTTCTTATTCTGATGATGGTCACTCAACAAGTTCATTATCAGTTTCTTCCTCTAGTTCCGAGGACGATCATAGGACTCGTAGGAGGTCGAGGTCTCAGGCACGTAAGATTGCAAAAGAAGGCAAGAAGAGGCCCCGGAAGCATTCGTATAGCAGTGATGGTAGTGAGGACTCTCCTCGTGTGAGGAAACGGAAAGGGTCAAAAAGAAATGATGATTATGAGGGAAGGAAGAGAACCTACCGGAAAAAGAAGAAGCTTAGAAGAGATTTGAGTGTGAGTTCTACAAGCAGTGAGTCGCAGAATTGCTCGACTTGTCACGATGGGAGTAGCAGTAGCAATGAGAGTGAATTTGAGAGGAAGAGAGGAAGGTCTGAAAGAAAGGATAGAAACAAAAGGAAACCTGGTCACACTAAAATTGACAATAAAGCGAGTAGAAATAGGTCGAGAAGCCGTTCTTTATCTAGTAGTCCTAGACGAA